GTGTGTGTGTGTGTGTGTGTGTGTGTGTATTTATGTATGCGTGTATATGTGTATGTATGTGCGTGTGTGCGCGCGCATGTGTGTAGAGGATAAGTCCGTGGACAACATAACAACATACAACTTTTTTTCAAGAGTGGCAGGAATGCGCGCACGATTCCAAGAAGATCTCCGCCAGGTCTTTCCCAGCGCCTCTGGCCGTCGATGCGAGCGCACCTCCTATCGTGTTCTCCTGCTAGGATCTCCCGAAACTCGCCGCAAACAACCGCCTGCCTGGGCGTTTCCGCCACGAGCAGACGCCCAAAACATTGTTTACGGGCGGCGGAGAGGTCGGCGATGATCACGACGCTGATCATGACGATTGTTCGGCGCGGCCCGCCAGCCGGAACCAGCGGTGCCGCCCACCACGCCCTCTCGTGTGCGAGGCCCATATAACGCGAGGCGCGGCGGCGGTGCTGGAAATACTGCGTTGACATTGTACCCACAAGCACACACGCGCTCTATCTCCTACACACATACATACGCGCTTTTCCCAACGCACACACACGCTCTCTTATACCATCACACGCACGCAGGATGATGAAGGCAGCAGTCTGCGGTGTTGCGGTGCTCGTGCTGGGTATCGTCATCGTCGCCGAAGCCAAGGTGTTCGATAGATGCGAGTTCGCGGCGGAGCTGCAGAGGCTGGGAGCTCGAGATGACATGCTCGCAGACTGTAAGTACCATAGTGCGCATGCGCGGTGACCGGCGCCGCCGCGACTCTTATATAATTAGATATATTATATTTCTTTTGATTCACTTTTGATACATACGCACACAGACAGCCAGACATACACACACACACACACACACGCACGCACGCACGCACGCACGCACGCACGCACGCACGCACACACGCACGCACGCACGTACGCACGCACGCACACACGCACACCCACGCACGCATGCACGCACGCACGCCCACACACATAATATATCGCGAATTATAAATAACAGATATATTTTCAGGTCCAATATGATGTCGACAGTTACCATATATTATGCGAACGAATTGCAACGTGCAATCTTCGTGTTCATTTGTAAAACGGCCAGTTTACTCGTCATGTTATATAATAAAATGATTATGTTTATGTTAGTGCGTATATACTCGGCGTCCGATAGCAAACTAGCGTAGCGTAGGTAGCGAATCACACACTCCCTCAAACCTAACGAGTTTACTCTGATTCTATACTCTATACACGTATCTACGAAATATAAGCCCGTTAAACCGTAGGACGCATGACAGTTGGAGAAAATAATATCAAGAGCTAGTATTACCTATTATTAGCCGTTATTAGCCGTTATTAATGGCTATTGATAATATCAGGGGTCAATTATGACAAATATGTCAATTTGTCATTATTAACCCTCTGATAATAGGCTATGCACCATCATCACGACTGCTAGGGTCCTGTGTTCCTGTACTTCTCATATCCCAGGCGTGCTAAATGTGTATTGTTTTCTCCTGTCGCATCCACGGGCCTGTCGAGGTGACGTGCCTGCGTATAAGACAGTATACTTTCCGATGCTGTTAATTACTTCTAGAGTTTGAGTTACGCCCAAGCCAGAGTTATTGTGGTTAGCTTGCTGGATGGAGGTTAGCCGTAAACCTCGAAGCCGGTTTGCACGCGGCCCCCTCGGGCTAGGTTACACTAAGATCTCATAATTATATATAGACATGCTTACACCCACAAGCAGAAACCCGATGAACATCGAAATCTCCTCTTCATACGTGCTTGCGGTTTGTATTTCGAGTTTAGGTTTAACAAACTTTTCCACACGTGTATTGTGAACATGCTGAAGACCGCCAATAAACGAAGAAAAAACTACAGCATCGGATTTTGCTGAGAGAGTTGGGGGAGCGAAAGCGAGACACACACACGCGCTCACGCGCACACACGCGCACACACACGCGAGCAAGAGAACGAGAGCGAGAGAGAGAGTAAGAAAGAGAGAGAGAGAAGAGAGAGAGAGAGAGACGATCGAAATGTTGACTTTCTGTAGTATTTTAGGATACCGCGGTAATATTCCGCACCCATTTGTCAAAGGTGCTTATTCCTGCATTACTTTACATAATTTATCTATGATACATGTATGAAGTCTACACATGGGAAAAAACGTTATGTCACATGTATTTACATCTTTCTGATACATTATGTACATACAGATCTATTTCTACTATAACTAAAGCTTGGTTGTATACACATTTACTGTATCTACAGAAAAGCAAACCTGCAAGTGTCTGGGAAAGTCAAACAGTGATGGGGCTGCATCTTCTTTTAAAAGTACTGTTTGCCATGCCCTATTAAAGTCAGCCTCAGTGAAATGTTTACTGCAAAAGCGGGAGGAGGAGGATGGCCACAAATCCCACAATCCATCTTTGCCTTGTCTGCGTAGAGCAATTATCCACTGTTTTTATCTTGTTTTCTTGACAGGAAATCTATTCGAGAAAAATGATATGTTTTGTTATTATTTCACTCATTCATTTACAGACATACAGGTAACAAAACATTTTTACACCATCTTCAAGAATTACTAGCCGGGTACCCGGCGTTGCTCGGGGAAAAACGCGTAGGAACAACATTTAGAGCAAATGCAGCCACATATTTACTCAATTCTAAGGATGGATTCGTAACAGGAAAACAAACAATAAACGATATTCTGACAAAAACAGTTTGAACGATTCTATGATTCTGTGGAGGCCTAGTGAAAGCTTCTGGATATACAACATTGTTATGAAATTGCGCCAAGTTATTATGTATATGCCTCTTTGGCTGTGCAAGACTATTATAACTTATACTAACTTATAACTATATACATTAACTTCTTTCTTCTTCTTGCTTCTAATGCAGTATACAATAATATCAAGAGTAGATAATTTAACTAAATTTAGTTAAATTATCTACTCTTGATAATATTAACACGTATACACATGCGTGCGTGCGTGCGTGTGCACGTACAGGTACGTGCGGGTGTGCGTGTGCACGTACACGTGCGTGCGTGCGTGTGAACCTACATGTGCGTGCGTGCGTGCGTGCGCACGTACACAGAATACATGTACATATACGTACTGAACCTAGAGCGCACGCCGCACTCGAGATGTTACAGATTTTTGTCACAAATGACCCGGTGACCTGTGAGGTCACACAACCCTTTGGCCCTTTGGCTAACTACGAACTCGCTTATTGCGTCGAGTTGATTTTTCTGGACTTACTATTGCTTTAAAAGGTACAAAAATAAAAAAATTTGATAAAATACCTAAAGGTCTGCAATAATATGATAAAAAATGATCGTTTAGTGTAAATTACTAAAAAAAATATAGTCCATTTAAATAACCTTTCTCAGAGAATTGCCGCGACGTTGAAGTAGCGAGAGTGCGATTTGCGATGCTCATGCACTGTCACTTAATTTGACCCGGTTTGAAACGGTAAATTTTATAGAAATAAATAAAAACTTCGCACAATGCTAAATTAATTGTTTCTCACTTCATTTTTACAATACTGCGGGAATGATACGTGTACGTGTACTGGATACTTATCTTGTAATTAATGAGTCTTAATGAGTTTCTGGGAACTAGTTTACATTGTGATTAGAAGCGTAGACAATTAGAGGTGTTCCAGAACTTTTTTATTTTTTACTAATCTGGCAGTGTGAAAACTCTCACATGTTTGCGGAGTCTCGTAGTCGGACCATATCGAAGATTGATTGTTAGATTGTGACAACGTGTCCTACACACGCCTCGTGTGGTTTGTTCGTTACTCTGTGCGATCTGTTGACCTTTGCTTTAATTATGCAGAATTTGTCATCCGAACGGGACTTGTGTACGTTCATGTTTGTATATCCATGTATTTCCCTATTTAGCCCTATAGGCATATTTTCTTTTTTTGACAATTATAAACGTATAGAAGAAATTATACATCATTTCCCACCATTTTTGAACTACCTACTTTATCTTTATCGTTTCAAAGAGATTTTATTCCTAAGATTTCGTAAGGATTCCAGAAACCGGTTTATATGCTCTGCATTTTCTCCATAACTTGTTTTCAACTTTATTAAATGCTGGAATAATGAGTATCCATCCTTTTCCTTCTACTGTGCGGGGCTTTTCCTCCATATGAACCCCGGTAATCCGATCCCGGTAGCCTAATATAGGTCCCAACAAGCTATTGCCTGCATAAATATACATAATATTTACATATGCCACGACTAAATAAATACTAACGTGTTTTTATTCACTCCTGACTATACGTATTTATTAATATTTATTAAAATGAATGAATAAATAAGTAATTGAATAATTAATTAATTAATTAAATAATAATTCATACGTTCGAGCGCATACACATGCACGCACGCACACACGTACGCACACACGCACTTACGCACTTACGCACATACAACGACTGGCGGGATGTCATCACCACTGGTGTGTGTAGAAAGCGGATACTGATGAATGAAAATAATGATTGTATAAGTGAAATAAAGGAATGGCTGTTACGGCTTCTTGTCATTCATAACGACTACGCACCAGGCACACCGTACTACAATCACGCACGCACGCACGCGCTCACACACACACACACACACACACACACACACACACACACGCACACACACACACACACACACG